GGGAGAAGAGATCCATTGGTGACAGGGGGGCACACCCTGGAGGTTTAGGCGAGAATGGGGAGAAGCCAGGGGGGGAGACCGTTCCTGCGGAGGCACCGGGGAAGCAGTCCGGGGGAACTTCTGATCCCCCCCTTTTCTCTGATCCCCATGTCTTTTTCAATTCGAGACATGGCTGGCTTGTATGCACCTCGTATGGCGTTGTGTCTCAAATGCTTTGACTTCCGTCGCCAGCTCAAGGCTCAAGGCAAGACAACAGCGCGTCAATACTTTTGTATTTTGCACTTTGCACACCCCTTATCACCTTGCATTCGTAATTCTTCTTTTTAAGGAGAGCGCCGAACGCGAACGCCCAAGAAAACGGACTTGTTTGTCTCTTCCGTTCCCATTCCGCTGTTGCCACTCTTTCGGCAGCCGTTTTCTCTCGAAAGAGAACCGTCTCAACAAACGGAGAGGCGTGGGGGGCAATGGGCCCCTGTCTCGTTTCTGCCCAGAGCAAGGACAGAAACCCCGATGGTCATCCTCCATGTCAGGTTGCCCACTATTGCCCCCCATTTACGCAGCACTCCCTACGGATATCAAAAGACGGACACAGTCTCACAGACTTCCAAGCATTGCCTCGCACATGAACGAGATGGGCGGAAGAGCAAACGAAATGCAGCTGGCAGAAGGAACCAACAAACACGAAAGTTGCGCCTTTGTCTGATCAGATGTCGTTCTTTTTTTGTTTCTTGTCTGTCGCCCGCCGAGCGTTCCACGACAAGACAACGAGGTGCCTGGTCACAAAATGTCGGACACGCGATATCCAACCGTGGTTTGCTTGTTTGTTTATTCGTTTGAGAAAGCTCTGATTTTTGCCTCCCCCCCTTTGTCTTACCCTCCCAAACTTTATCAACCCATGGATAACCGCTACCAGAATCCGCTCGTCCAAAGCGCGTTCTACGGATAAGACGACCGCGAGCCGTAGTTGCAGAGGTCCGAGTTCCGCCTGGTTTGGTTGTGGTCACTGTGTGTGGACCTCATCTCCCGTCACCCGCGAACCAGGTGTGCCCTTCTTCGGGTTACCGATTAGCAACGACGTTGTGGACTGCGATATGCCTCAGATGGATCTGTGTGGTTTGCGTGAATATTTCTTGATCTCCAATGGTCTGATTTTTTTTTGTTAAGATGCGTTTACATGAAGCATCAGCATGAAAGAGGTCCATGTTAGCAGCAAGCAGCACAGCAACTAGCACAGCAATACAGCCTTTCAAAAGCACGCCATTGTGCACTGATCAATATGATAGGGTGTCGTTCCCGTCTGCACGGTGTCTTGGCTGTTGTCTTTTTTTTTTTTTTTTTTAAAGTCTTTGAAAGAGCAAAATGGCCGTGCGGTCATGAGGCCGTCGCGCTGAACACTGCCCACGTGCCTCTCGCCAGAATTATAAGTGTGTGTAAATGGTTCAGATGGCAGTGTCATCTGTTCTCTGTGGTGACTGCGTGGAGCACTCCGCCATGATCGAGCCATATCAGGCGTCATTCAGTCACAGGTACAGAATACGGGAAAACAACGGGATGCCGTTTGCGGGTTATTCTTTGCAGTTTGGTTGTCGCCAGGCCAGCCTGCGACGGCTTGGCTTCCCCAAGGTTCGTCGATGCACATGAGCCCCCAATCCTACAGCATCCCCCACGTAAGAAGAGACGGAGGCAAAATGGGAGACCAAGAGACACGGCATCAAAACCGCCTCCTTGTGATAGCCATTAAAAATGTCACCCACACTTTTTGAGGGTGAGTGAAGGAGATAAAAAAGCCAATATTGCGGGGTGGGGTGGGGGAAGCAACAAACTGGGAGACTAAGACAAAACAAAAGAGACGTGTTGGACAAGTTCAAAACTACGGTCGGGTCGTGGGAGAAGAAACGTAATTGAAATTTAAAAAACGAAAAGAGGAAGAAGCAAAAACAAACGAAGCAGCAACTAGCGCCACGATGTTGTGTCTCGTCACTTTTTTTATTAATTCGTTCCTTTTTTGGGCCCCTCTTATTTATGTTTTCTTTGCTTCGGTATTTGGCTTGGTTCTTTTTCGCTGTCGGATATCGCGGTGATCACGTTAAACCAACGGGGAAGACAAGAGCTCTCAGTGATGATCCCCTCCAGGTGCAGCAAAGCTGAAAATCGAGAAACGAATGGTTTAATCCATTCATAGAGAGGACAAGGCATACAGTTTGAATACCCCTCCTTTCGAGCTATGGCCGCAGCAAGCGATCTTCTTTGCTTGAGCTCTGCTCGGCTGCCAGCGGCTCTGTCTGGGCAAGTCCAGCACATATCATCTGTCTTCCGCCTCGGTTTAGTGTCCAAGTGCCATTCAAATTGGGCGGCCCCATGGATGTTGTCTTCTCGTCCGATATCGACGTGATCTTAATTGTCCTCGCTCACACAAACACTTTGTTCACACCCCCTCCTAGAACTCTGAACTGGCGGTGAACAGTATGACGATGCAAAAATGTGTGTGGCAAGAAAAAGATGCAGAAACGCGAGATGCTGGTACACCGCGTTTGCTCTTGGCTTCCGTCGTATGTCTGCCCCTCCTTTACAAAATAAATAATTAATACACAGAGCCAAACGAGACGGCCGACGTATGTAGTAGCACTTAGTCCCATGTTCTTTTACATCACGAAAATGGAACAGGACACGATCCCAGACGAACCTCACCTCCTCGTAAGTACGACGTTTCTCCTTATTGCACCTTGCCGCTCATTACCGTTCCCTGCCCGACCCTATTCTCTGGCTTTACATCTCCACTTTCTCCCTACGACGTATTCCTCCGTACTCCGTACACGTTCTCTTACTACTTTGCTCTCGTCTCCGTGGCAGGACGGCGAAATATATCGAAACAAAAATACAAAAATGTTAATCCTTCGCATGGAGTAGGTCGCGCTTTACTAAGCCTTTTCAGAATTTCACGATGCCAGTTGCCCCATTGCTTTGAAATTTAATCGGCCCTGCAGAATATAGCACTGAAGTGACCTCTTTGGTTGGTTTGTTCCATTGCTTTGTCAGTTGCATATGTTTTATTTTATTTATTATTTATTTTAAAAAGGAACACATGTAGCTGCCTCTGCCACACACGTCTGCACCCACCTGTATCGTAAGACCTTTGTAAGAGGAGCCTCATTCCCGTATACCATCGACTTTGCTCGACGTGGAGCCCTCTTATCTCTGTAGTACTAGGTAGAAAAGGGCCACAAAATAGTGATACCAAGAAAAGGTGGCGAAAAGTTGATGTTCAATCTGCCGTTTTTTAAACAGTGGATTTTCCATTTGCACGGGTTTCAGGTCCCTCTGCCACGTCTTGTTACTGTGTCGTTTGCCTTGTCCTCGGCAGTTGCGGTCCTTTTGTGCTGTCTGGTGGACAGGGGATCTCGTTCTACGGGAGCCAAAACGTGAAAACCAGGGGCATGCTCCGTCTCTTCGCAGTCCGTACTCCGTAAATTTGTCCACCCGTACTCCATAGGATGACCCCATTGTGGGAGATGAAACTGCAGGAAATACAGCGAGCAAAAAGCGCGACAGGGCGGATGAGGCGGGCAGGGCGTCATAAGCTGCCGAATACCGAACAGAATAGGCCCGTTTGGTTTCCTTTTTTTGGTGGGAATTAAAATTTATGCGTCTCCCCTTTTGCTACCGGACTTCTCGCGTCTCGGCCGTCGCTCACTTTTCAACATGTTGTGAACCTTTCACCATTGAATTTCCTCCCTGTCCTCTTAGAGACCTCTGTCGTCATACCACCCACTCTTCTTGGACTCCATCTCGCCGAGCAGCGACAATGGTCCGCAAAATAGGTGGACAGACACAAAAAGATGCTGCTGGCCACCGTAGTAAGGGGAAGCATTCAGGACCAAAAAAAAGAAAAAAAGTATCCCAAATGTCATAAACGGGGAGACGGCAGCAATAACAGGTGACCCTTGCTATTAATATCTTTTGTACCTCGTACTTTGGATGACTTTGGCACTCTCAGTTTACACCTGTTCGGTTGGGGACTGTCTGTTGGCGGAACCATCTCCCAGACATGTGAAAGCGGTTACACACAAAGCAAGGGAGGGCGTGCGCAACACACACTACCTAAACGGCAAAATAAGCACCACGTTTAGCACAAGCAAAACCTACAGGCAAAAGAAAAGGAAATCACAGGCTGCCGCTCCCAAAGAAGTGAACAGGGAAGACGACAATGATCAAAGGGAGAAAGAGTGAGGTGGCTAATTTTATTTGTTTGTGAAGGGGGTGCTATTCCGTTTGTCTGTTGGGATCGAATACGACAGAGTGTGACATGGCAAGAGATGGGGCGGCGTGGACAAACAAAAAGCAGAGGAGGGAGACACATAAAAGTGCACATGTTGGGCAAGGCCGTGGATGTCCTCTGTAAACAAATTGACAGTCCTCCCCGCTCGCACTCATTGTCCCTTCAGGTTTACCTTATGTCATGGAATCAATGTTAAATGTTGAATTGCGTAATATTGAGTGAAAATAGAGGACATGCGTGTCCTGGTGAGAAGGGTAGTAAAAAGCTAAGCCGGCAGGATATAAACGCCCAAGTTCGAGACCCTGCCCAAAATACAGGGGAAAAAATAGTCTATAGGTGGTGGTTTCCGTCATCCTTAATCCCATCCCAAAAAAATTCAGATGTCTATAATATTCGCCAAATCCAAAACTGCCCGTAAAAGAAACCGTTTAAAAGTAGAGTCGTGAAATCATCTTCCTGGAGGGGAAGGAGGTTGCTCTGCACCGCGCGGTTCTCTGGTGGAGAAGCACGTTGTTCGTTGTTCCTCACTCACCAAACCCCCTGTTCGAGCATCTCATAACGAGAAGAAAAAGAAAAAGAAAGAAACAGCCAAAAGCATCCAAAATCCCGGCGCTGCTACATGAAAATAATGAAAAAAAGTATTAGGTAGACACCGCTGTCATATGCGGCCTGGTCTGATTGCTCCCTTTGCGTATACAAAGGAAACTCGTTCGAGGGATGCCCATTACATCCGCTCCATCAGGTCGCTTCCCGAGATGCTGTTCGAAGAGGAGCTGCGACCGCTGAGGTTGAAACCGTCGCTCGGCATCAGCAGGTCCGGCACGCCCTTGGTCATAACCTGCGGGACCGGCAGTTTTCTCTGCGAGCCGTCGGTGCGGCTCAGAATGTCGCTCAGAGAGATACCACCGCTTGGCTTGGCCGTTGCATTGGCAGGCGTGGGCGCCGTGTATTTCGACGAATCGGGCTGCGGCTCCAGCGGCGCCAGAGCAGGCGTCGTGTGCGAGTGCAGAGACAGTTGGCGGAAAGGCGGCAGCTCATACGTGCTCGAGAACGGACGCAGGCGAGGCGAGTGGGCGGGGGTTGCAAGCGGCGTGTGGTCGGGGGTCGGCGACAGTGAGTCGTGCGAGAACGTCGGCGACGACGGGGCGGTCGAGTTGGGGGAGTTGGGCCGCGAGCGCTTGGCATGACGGTAGGCATGGAAGTGCTCGTCACTATTGCCGTTGCCGTTGCTGGCTCCGTGCGGAGCCTGGTGGCCGTCCTCGTGCGAGTGGCTCCGCGACATGTGGTACGCGGACAGCGAGGGCAGGCGCTGCTGCGACGAGTGGTGGTAGCTGTTGTAGTACGACGAAGGCGGGCTCGTGTGGAGACTGCTGCTGCCGTGGTGGCTCGAGTGGTGGCTCGAGTGGTGATGCAGGTGGTGGCTATTGCTGTGGCTGTGGTGCCGCGAGGACGAGGGCGAAGAGTAGTGCGAAGGAGGTGCCATGACGGTCTCCCGCTCGACCTGATGCGCAGCCTTGGCCAGCATGGCAATGTCCATGCCCTGGTGGGACTGCTGAGGACTCGTGTTGCCAAATGCGCCGCCGAGACGGCCGTTACTCGAGCTGCTGCCGCCGAACGAGGGCTTGAAGCCATTGGCCAGGCTGTACGAGGAGTACGTGTGCGGAGGGCTGTGGTTGGGCGAGCCCAGGGCCGAGGGCGGCGCAGAGCGGATGGCCTTGGCACCAGCAGGCGGCGGCATCAGACTCTCGGCGGTGGGGTTGTAGGACGCATGCGGCATGTGCGAGGCCTTGTTGTGGCGGCGCGAGTTGGGGTTGTTGTGTATCCGCGAGTGGCGCGTGAGCTCGTCGGACCGGGAAAAGCGCTTGCTGCAGCCAGGGAACTGGCAGGCGTGGGGCTTCTCGCCCGTGTGAGTGCGGATGTGGCGCGTCTGGTGCTCCAGGCGGTGGAAGGCCTTGTCACAGAGCGGGCACTTGTACGGACGCGGCATCTCTGGTGTTGCGTCCGCACCCTGGCCGTTGGGGACGGGGCCGTTGGGGCGAATGCTGGTCGAAGACGAGGCGCCCGAGGTGGACTCGGCAGAGCCCATCTCGACGTCGGCCGCCTCGTTCTGAAGCTGGTGGTTCATACTGCTGATGCTACTGCTCGTAGCAGTTGACGACGGCGTAGAGTCGTGGTTCAAAAGGTTGGAAAAATCCACGGCGGACTGTGCTCGCTGCATTGAGGCCGTCGTGTGGTTCCGGGAAGGATATCCCAGAAGACAGGCCAGACGAGAACGAAAGGTGAGGACAAATGTTTGACCGTCCCTGATGTCGTTGTGGTGTGGGGTTTTTTTTCCTCTTTCTTTTTCCTTTGCAGAAGAGAGCAACGAGGGGCTTCCTATCGAAGGGGCGTATGAGGTGGGAGCGTTGGTATGCTGGCTGTGAACACGCTGTGCTCGACAATCGTGATGCTGGATGCGGAGTGATAATCTGGGGTATGCTTGGTGGTGAGGTAGGAAGAAGAAGAGAGAAAGAGGAGGGCAAGAAAAAAGAGGAGAGAAAAGAAATAGGATTTCAGTGGACGGTCTTTTTCTTATGTTTTTTCCCAGGGAGGGGAGGAGCGGGTACGGTTTTAAATGGCCTTTGGGGGCAGTAGGCTTGGGAAAGGAAGGCAGAGCCAGCCGGGGTCGGTAGGTACAGGGCCTGTTTTTTTTTTTTTCTTTTTCTTTCTACGCTCGCTGTTACTGTTCGCTGAGTTGGGGGGTATTGTGGAGGACGGGGGAGAGCGAAGGAGGAGGGGGTGGGGTGTACGGAGTGGTGTGCAAGCTGGCGTATGGCGGGCGGGTGTGGGTGGCATCTCACAACTGGTTCACTGCGGGTGGGTGTGAGGAAAGAAAGAATGGGGTAGAAGGCCCAGAAGGTACGTACCCTTGTACCACGGGGGGCAGCGCGAGGGGCGTATGGGCTGCTGCTAAGTATGTCGTAGAGGGCAGGAGCGATGGGCGGCGATAGCGTGGGGCGTGGGGCGACAAGGAACGGAGGGAATGAGAAGGAAAAAACGGTGCGTGGCTTCCCCCAATCTGTGATTGCCCGGCCTGCCCAGAAAATGGCAAACTGGGGCTTTTGAATGTCCAGTCCATATCTTGCGCATTTCCTCCTATCTTACCCGGGGAAGCGACCAGAACCGTCCCACCCCCCCTTCCCCAGTTACGAGCATCCTAGACGCAGCTCGCCATCGACCAGACGTCCTGGTTCGCTGCGGTCGTTTGCTGAACTCATTTGTGCTCTGTGAGATACGACGCCTGCTTATGTCCAGCGATCTCGTCCAGTCAAAGGGAGGCACTCAAAAGATACTCCTCGTCAGATACGGAGCTCTGTGGAGTACTCCATCTGGGGTTCTGTTTGGACCTTGTCAGGTAAGACCTCCCTCCACCCTCGGATTCTTGTCTTGGACCTGAACGTCCAAAGGGAGCCGCAGCCAGGAGGGCCGTTGGCGCGCGCAAAACGCTCATGGTGGACGTTTGTACATTTTCCGATGCATGTCTACTTGCATCTTATGTGATTGCTCCAGTGGCTCGCGCGACCGCGACTGGCTGGATCCCGTCAGATGGGTGCAATGAGCACGTTTCATTCCAGCTTTGGCTCTCGGTCGGTGATGAGGGTGCTTGCATCCCGGGGGGGAAAGGAAAAAGAAACGACAGGTACTCTCACGCTCCTGCTCCCCCACGAACGTACGGGAAAGGGGGATGGGTCACTTGTTCTGGCCTCTGTGCCGTGCCTCTCCTCTACCACAACGGGGACGAGGTGGGAGAAAGGACGGGATGACTGGCTCGGAGTCGATATTGTGATATGAGTTGTTCTTGAGCACACTTGTGATTTCTATTTCTGGTCGCGGTCAACAAGCAAACGAGGGGGGAACAGTTGGACAACAGGCCGTCTCACCTCCTGACCAGGTCTCCCCACGCTTTCTCTCCATCTTTGCGCCTCCCCCCTGTCCTGGGCGTTGGTCACCCACACCCGGCTCCAGGTCTCCTTGACTGCCCCGGAGCTTCGTCTGTTTCTGTTTTCAGTGTCATTATTGTCGTTGTGTTTGAAGCGAGTCCCGGTGCTGGGGTCATCCGCTGCTCGCTTCTCAGCTCGCGTCAGGACGGGAACCCCTTTTCGGGTATTTCAAAGGTGGCAAATGTTTTGCACCTGTACGATACGATATTTTAATACGCCTTGCAACTCAAAGGGAGGAGACACCCATACTCCCTGTGTTTGCGAGACATCTGGATCATGCGGCCAGCCAAAGAAAGCATGACAATGCCCAGCAGACCACCTTTATTGGACACACAAACGAAGAAACAAAGAATGAATGACGAGTACATAGGCACAGACAGGCAAGGACTACAAACGAGTGCGGTCGCACATACTAACAAACGAGGACGCAACACACCCCCGGCACTGTACATCACTTAACTTTTGCTCCGCGATGTACGACGTATTCGTGACGAAGTGCCTGTTATTGTGTGAAGTCTTCCCCAGCCCAGAACCTTATAAAAACGGGGTCGAAAACGGAACCACGGGGTAACGGTATTGTTTGGAAAGAACCCTGTGATCATCTCTTGTCTTGGGGAGCGTGGAACCGGCTATCCTTCACACTCATTTGGGTTATCCGCCGTACTTCCCTCCGTATTGACTGACTCTGTACGCAATTACTTACATCGCCGCTCCTTACAGCCGCAAGCCCGCCAACCCGCCGCCAAGCCAAAATATTGAGGAAAAGAAAATATTCTCAGATAAGGAGTTAGGGGGAATGGAGACCTTGCTAGTTACGGGTCGGAGACAAGTGGAGAGGTCTCAGAACGGACCGAAGGACAATACCCCAGTCTTGTGAAGCAAAAAAAAAAAGCGAGAAGGGCAACAAAAAGCGGCCAAAGTTGTACAGTTCAAGCGAAATCGAAGAGGGAAAATAAAAAATAAAAATAAAAAAACAGTAACAGGTTGAGAGACAAGGTACCCTGAAGCAAACTTCTTCTGTACGTCGTACTAATTCTGAAATAGTCGGTGAAATTTCAAGACGGACGACAAGGCCAAAAAAAACCCTGACTCGACCATTGGGGGAAATAGACGAAATGGTGATGGACGTAACGGTCTCAACGTAAATCCCACGATGGCTTCACGCCGGCAAAACTAAATGAACAAAAAGTCAATGTCAAATGGTGCGCCTTATTTCTTAGCGGAGCAAGATCATGCAGGTCGACCTCCAATGGGTTGGGGAGGCTGGATCGATATTGCTTTAGAAGTGTACAGCTAAATGCGAGAAAAGTATTGGATCCTACATGAAGTCCGCGCAAGGGTAACGAGAAGAAAAAGACGGCGGTGAGCCCAAAAGAGGTTGCAAGAAAATGGCGGCAGTCAGCTCTAAGATTGCGTACGACTTGTATACACCATTGCGGTTCCCTGGTCTTGCTTGGTGTTTTCGTGACCGTTTTGTTGAGTACTGAGTAATGATTCTCCGTCCATACAGAACCAGCCAAGACCACACACGCGTATTGGCATAGAATATGTCTTGTCGTTTTCTTTCGACATGTCCTAGTTTTCCTTGGCAAAGTGGAAAACACGGGGGAGAAATAAAAAACGGGGGGTGCATACAGAGAGGTACTGCCGAAAGCGTTGCAAAAATTAGGCCAACCGTTCAACAATGGTCTGTTTATCTGATGATTTTTGATCGCTTTTCCTCTCTACCCGTTTGCTTGCATGCCGCTCGTAACAATTCCTAAACGTATTTCTGAATAAAAAGACATGAAGTGGCAAGGAGATCATCTTCTCAACTTTGATTATCTACGCCGGTGGACTTGCCACATTTTGTTTGGCCCGGCAGAGAGTCCATAGATATTCAAAATATATAAATTGAAGATCAAATTTTGTATTCGTAGCCAGGGAGGTGGACAAAGTGTGGGGGTTGTATATGTCGACTTTCGATCGACGCATGAGGGGAAGAACGGACGAAGACAGGGCGAGGACGCGGCGCGACTGGCGATCTACAGAACTGCATCTGAGCACCACCTACTTTTTGATGTTCCTACGAGTCAACGGCGTAACTTCTAGAACTCACGATGCGCCATACAAACCCTAATCGAAGGACACAACGATTTGTTACATTGTCCTTGTCAGTCTTTTCCGGCGCCTTGTTCTTTGCCATTGCTTTGTCACCCTCTCTGCCCGCAAACGAGCCCCGACACTGACAAGATGGCAAAAGTAATGGATCCGAACCTCTCGCCGGCCGAAGCTACGCTGTTACCATTTCGCCTCACTCCTGTATTTCTGGGTCTCTCAGGCCTCTCTTTCTTCCAAGATACCTGTTATGACCCCCATCGCGCCTGTTTGTCTTTGGGTCACCTCGGTCTTTCGGTGTTCCTGATCCGGAACAGCTTTTTGTGGAGAGGATGGGGAGGATGGGAAAAGAGCAAAGAGAAAATTTTGTTAGTAGTCGATGGCGGAAGGAGGGAGGCGGAAAGGCGTGCTTAGGAGACGGACACTCGGCACTCGGAGAAACTCTCTGGAGGCCCCTCGGCGACCGTCTTTTCACCTAAGCGCATATTTCTCGGCGAGTTGCAAGGAATGTCCTGGTGGCTTTGGGGAAGATGTGGAAAAAAACTTACGGGTTAATGGTTTGGCTTCCCGAAGGGCAAAAAGGCGGTAGGCATGGGACCGTACGAATGTAAGCCACAGGGTATTACCGCGTAACGTTTCGTCCCTAAAGGTTTCTCGCTATACCCCAGCAAGGGGCCTAAAACGGCGGCTTGGAAGCAACCGACACAGTTTTCCGTCACTTGCCAGTCAGCATTCGGAGTACTTCGTACGTAAGGAGAGAGCTACCGGGGCATATCGGAACCGCTCGCCAGGTCACTGTTTTCTGTGCCTCTCTCCTCTAATGTCACAGAGTGAGAGTGGCCATCCCCTAAGCGGTCGGTTATCTTTTCCACAAAGGCACTCCACATACTCCGTTCCAAGGGATCGCCTTTCGCAATACGGCGCAATTGTCGCTCTCTTTCCCTTTTAGCCTTTCCAGCTCCCCGTCTGCAAAAGACGGAAGGATTCATACATCCCTCCATGCCAAAACGTTATCTCGATTTTGAATTGCGCATTCAGAGGGTTTCTTTGCAATTGCTTATTTCGGCTCGTTTCTCATAACTGTGAACGCCCTCCCTCTCCCTCCAGAATAGGACAGGAGGGCATGAATGTCTCGCTCCTA